AGACACAGGTGGCGTGTTAAACATGTTTTCGGACGCCCACCACTCCCCTAATCTGAGACAGTGGTGTATGTAATATCACAACATAAGAACAACGCGCATCACTCCCATAACCTGAGACAGTGGTGTATGTAATATCACAACATAAGAACAACGCCCACCACTCCCCTAACAGTGGTGTATGTAATATCACAACATAAGAACAACGCCCACCACTCCCCTAACAGTGGTGTATGTAATATCACAACATAAGAACAAACTATAATAACCAGTCAAGTAAGTGTGTTCAATAGATCAATAAGCCTAAAATAGAACTGGGGAATGTGTCAAAGAGACAACAACTCGACCAAAGAGCAGAAAACAGCTCAAGGCCACCAATGGGTCTTCAACACAGCGACAAAATCCCGCATCCGTAGGCGTGCTTTAGCTGGTCCCTAAACAAAAATGTATACTAGTTCAGAGAAAATGGACGTCACACTAAACTTCGAAACATATAAATGAACCAAAATAAAAAAAAAAACATACAAGACTATCAAAGGCCAGAGGTTCCTGGCTTGGGATAGGCGCAAAAATGTGGCGGGGTTAAACATGTTTTGTGAAATCTTAACCCTGCCCTTATACCTCTAGCTAATGTAGAATAAACAAACACACAGCAATACGCACAGTAAAAATCAGTTTAAAAGAAGTCCGATTCCGATGGATTGTCTCTAAATTTACGGGCTTTCAAAAACATCATCACCGTGAAAATTAGGATGTGATATCCCGGTAGTAATAAGTAATGTAAAGCTAAATTTCCAAACCAAATGTTTGTATCTATAAAAGAAATTAGTAAAGGTTTTTAATTGTGGTAGCAAAATCTCGGACTGAATAATTTACCAGTAATACATAAATTACGTTCATGGACATATATAACGTCACTACAGACAAGGACAAAGCGAACGAGTTTTGGATATACAAACACCTTAAGATGGGGCCAAAGGAACATCATCGTCCAAAAAAAAGTAAATTTACAATAAGGGAACGCAAAAACGTCCCTTTTGTCGTAAATTAAAGTATTGAGTTTCCTGTGTGAAACTGTAATATCAAGGGCAGTTATTGATGTTTATATTAGATTTATTCAAAGTAAGTTCCCTAGAGTAAATTTTGGCAGTACATTTAAAGAATTCTTGAGTATTTAACGAAAAATATCATCACGGTAAAGGTAGGCTTTGTTGAATTTTTCACTTAGATAAATTTGAGACTGATATTTACTAAGTTTAGCCATAGATTGTGATTCATTACATAACAGGAACACGTTTGTTATTAAAAGAGTGCAATTGGTGCCCATGGGAATACATAAAACTGTCGATAACTTTATTGTCGAAAGGTATATATATATATATATATATAATCCATATTATTTTTGATTCTGAAATTATGCCAGAAAATGTTGTAGCAATATATATCAAAGTGACGACAGTGTTTTAGGTGCTTATGATCCAATTAACATTGCTATGAACATGTCAACATATATACCATTCTTGTAACGGTTACAAAAATATTTTAACAATGTCTGAGATAAATCTGTTATATTTTTTACTGTTTTACTTTTGACACAATGTCAGAACAAATATTGTCATATATTTATTTCTAGTACTGTGAATAGATTTTTTTTTGCATTGAAAATAAACCTAATTTATAAGCAGTATTGCACTCCACTAACTCGGGTTTGTTGAAAATCACTTCATACGCTTATTTTTCGAAATACTTAATTCTTACCCCAGAAATAGATTACCGTAGTTGTATTTGGCCCTTTTAACTTTTTCGATTAGAGTGCTACTGATCATGCAGTCGTTTATAGACAAAAACGCGTGTCTGGCGTACACAATTTTAAACCTAGTATCAATGATGAGTTTATTAGTAATAATTATCACCAATGTGCATGGTATGCAAAAACTGTAGTAGCCAGATTGTAATTTCATGCTTAAGAATCCTATCTTATGGTTACTCTGTTGTCAGTATTCCTCCGGAATCTCCAGCTATATTATGTCCTTTGTGTTCTATTAAACTATAACTGTAACTTTGATGAAGAACAGCAATAAAAGCACTATTCCTTTCCTTTTTTGTGTGTTTTTTGCTGTGCATGTACTGAATTGTGTCATAAATGGATACCCCATATCCTTTGTTTTTCTATTCTATTAACGATGTAATTATGTAGAACGTCTTCATCATTCAATCCCGTTGTATAACACTGATATAAAATGCCAAGTTGAAGGCTATGTTACTTTGAAAATAATGGTTTTTGCCATTTGAATATTACCTCAACAAAGAGCTATCATTTTATTCTCGATGCGTATATTATTGAACAAGACAGAAAACACTATTTTTTTGTGTTCGACGCTTGTTTATGTTTAAAATACAAAGAATACCAACAAAAAATATGTGTCATCAACGTGTACACAGTAACCATGGTAAAATCTGGAGATATTCAATTATGAGCTGGACCATGATATTTTACTCGAGACATTCGAATAGTTAACATTCATTTGGCATGAAATTTAAATAAAAAAATTTCGGATTTCTCAAAATACCCCATACATGGAAAACTAAAGACTGGAAACACGAACCCCACCAAAATATATGGGTTATCTGGAAGTTGTGTACAAGTTCCATTAACTGAGAAAAAAATGAAAGTCTAAAAATAACATCTCGCAAGCCCAAATCAGGTGAGTACTTTACAGCCTGTATAAATCTATGAAAACATCATAGCTGGGATATAAGTTACACCTCCGCAGCCAATCATCCAAATAAACAATTTACTTCCGAGTCCATATTACCGTCTATAAATTCATCAAACAATTGTTTAATGCTTGAAAAACAATTATAAGTCAATTAAAATAATAGATGATACTTAGTGTGTAACAAACGTAGCACTGGTTTCCTTCAATGATGACTTGCAATACCTGAAACATTGTAGATGCGTCATCTCTCTTACAAATCTAAAAGAGTAAAATCGACAACAAACGAGGAACTAGAGAGGTGAACTAGAATTCATAAGTACCCTCGTCCGTAGCAACTGAGAGATCATGATTTTGACTAGCGGTCCAAAACACTCCATTAACATTTCAATCAATTTCAAAAGGATGTTCTCCATTTATTTACAGGAAACGATTTTTTTCCAACAATCAAGTACCATAACTCTGGAACGGTAAAAGTGAAACGACGAAACAATTAATTTTGAAAAAGCTTTTATCCATTTATCATCTGAAAACTAAAAGTGTGACGGACGGACAGACGGACATGATGATTCCTGTATGCCACAAACTCTATCGAACGGGGGTATAAAAGGCATGGAAAGCAAAACACAAAACCACGATATTGGCCGACAAATTCTTAAAACCTCACAACAAATAAACATCGAGAGTAACTTAGGACATATTACATACAGTATTACACCCCAGTTTATGCATCGAGAATAACTGATGGAATATTACAGCTCATTTTACACGAGAGTAACTGATGGAATATTACACCTCAATTTATACACCGTCTGTGTAATATGTGCTTAAAATCTTGTAGAAGATAAATGCATAATAGCGGACAACATATTTTATTGACGATGAATCTTCATGAATGGTATTTGTTGTAGTATTGTTTTGTTGTATTTTTGTCTAACAATTACTAAAATTAAATTCTATGGACAGCAAATTGTTCGTTCAATAACTAATAATTCTATATTTTCTTTTCACAATATAAATGTAAAAGGCATGGAAAGCAAAACACAAAACCACGATATTGGCCGGACAAATTCTTAAAACCTCACAACAAATAAACATCGAGAGTAACTTAGGACATATTACATACAGTATTACACCCCAGTTTATGCATCGAGAATAACTGATGGAATATTACAGCTCATTTTACACGAGAGTAACTGATGGAATATTACACCTCAATTTATACACCGTCTGTGTAATATGTGCTTAAAACCTTGAAGAAGATAAATGCATAATAGCGGACAACATATTTTATTGACGATGAATCTTCATGAATGGTATTTGTTGTAGTATTGTTTTGTTGTATTTTTGTCTAACAATTACTAAAATTAAATTCTATGGACAGCAAATTGTTCGTTCAATAACTAATAATTCTATATTTTCTTTTCACAATATAAATGTAAAAAACAAATTTTATTGTTCATCATTTCATGGTTCAGAAACTGTAAATATCTAGGTCGATTCACAGCTTTAATATGTATCTTTGTAATATTTGAGTTGTTTCTAGTTGTTGATTATTACTGTTTGAATATATGTATAACAGAAAATTTCATGCGTCTCATTGATGCTTGGTCCTAATGTCCCGGTTGAAATTCCAAATCCAACACAGCAATCAATAAAATACTCTTCAAACTAGTTATATACCAAGTGTTTATTTTGTAGGGAACATTAATGAGTTGATAGATTATTGATGAATTTTCACTGGAGTTGGAACATTGAAAAAAGTTATTGTGAACACAACTAAATACGCATAAAATGTTCCTAGATCAAAATTTTAAAATTATAGCATTGAATCAATGTAGAGTTACTTCTGTATAGACAGGTGTGCGTTTATTGTTTAAGGTTTAGTTTTGAGTGTTTGTAGTAGAAGTAGTTTAACTGTATCCATCTTTCTTTTCTAATCAATCTTTAAGTTATCCAAATCATATATTCCTGTCCCAGGTTAGGGAGAGGGTTGGTGCGTTCAGACAAGTTTAACCCCGTCACATTCTGTATGTGCCTGTCCCAAGTCAGGAGCCTGTAATTCAGTGGTTGTCGTTTATTGCTGTGTAACATATTTGTTTTTCGTTCATTATTTTGTACATAAATTAGGCCGTAAGTTTTCTCGTTTGAATTGTTTTACATTTGTCATTTCGGGGCCTTTTATAGCTGACTATGCGGTATGGGCTTTGCTCATTGTTGAAGAGTTGTCTCATTGGCAATCATACCACATCTTCTTTTTATATTTGCATATATAACAATACAACATTTCAAGTTTGAGACACTTTTATTGAACATTTCTTTCAAATCTTCATTACAATATTATATCTCTGTACACAGCATGAACGGCAAAATAACAAGATGAAAATCTGTACAATTTCTATTAATAACACTGCATCTAGTTAAAGAGCACTCTGAAACACAATTACACTGGAATGTTGTCCGAAGACAAAAACCTAACTCACTACATAATGGATTTCTGTTGATCCGTGACGAGCACGTGACTCTTAAATGTCCGGATATAACGTACCGGAAGTCATGAAATGAAAAAAATGGCATAGCACTCGTAGAAACCTATAACGGTTTACAACAAATTGAACATCAAAGTCATGTTTCCATAAGTTTTGGGACTAGAATCAAATGTTTTCTCTCATACAAAACAAATGTCATGAACTTAGCTCAAAAATATTTGAGTCAATCGGCAATAAATTAATATGTACACATTAAACAATGTAATAAAACAACAGTATATCTTTGTTAATTTACTTTGAGCAAACACATATAAACTGTTTTTGTGTTACAGTACGTCTCACGCTCTAGACGGCTAATTTTGACCACTGACAAGTACTGTGGGATACCTGAAAAAAGAGATCAACATTCACAGGGTCTGGTTTCCTTTGAAGTTTAAATGCCTACAGCACAGTTAATACTGTAAATGACACTAAGTGAATTTAGAGGGTGATACGCGAGCCGGATAGAATGTATTTTTGTAGTCACCCTGGGTCATTCCACTCGAACTCCTCTCCTCATGGTTACGCGTCGTGGCTCTCGGTTTTCATAAATTATGTAGTTTTGCGTAGAGGTTTCAATGAATGTAGAAAATTGATACCCGGAATACTATGATCAGGTATTGTCAATCTCCGTGACAAATGGAATATTAATAAAATGTTGTTTTAGGTGACAAATATACTTTTCAGTTATGATGTCTCTGCACGCAAACGAACACCTTCACTGGCTCTGTTATAGTCTGATGCATTGTAAAAGTTTTATCGTTTTGTGTCTTTTCTTTACAGAGACGTTAGTTGTGTCATTGTCGTGGTATTAGCCATCGTCGGTTAATTCAGTCACTGCCCATAACATTGACACATTTTCCAAGATGTCGGCCAACACTGCCTTTTCCCGGAAAATATCAGTACATTTATACCGGAAGCACCATTTGAACGCACTGTGCGCCGAAGTGGATGTAAAACCAACATTAAAAAGACTTTTATTGTAAAGTTTTATGCCATTGCTCCTACCATTGATGACGTTGACAAGTTAAGTCCTGAAGAGAACCCGGATGATGAAATGTTCGGGATGCTAGAAAATGATGATGCGTAGCTTGATGGCGCGAAATAATTGGAACCACCTGAAAATCCTCCATGACTTAGTCCTGCTGCATTTTGCATGTGTCCTGATCCCATCGAAGGATATCCACCCATATATGTTGGCATTGGAGCGTGCATGCCTTGCATTGCAGGAAATCCTCCGAAAGATTTTTCTAATGGTTTCAGAAAGTCTGACATCATCATTCCTTTTTTGTTTTTCTTGCTCTTTGTTGACATTTTCCTGTTACGAGTTTGTATGCCATCTTTCTTCATTGTAAGAGGTCGGCTAACCTGCAAAGACAAGAAATAATTTATTGCAACATTTCATTAAAATCTGACACAAACAGGAATGTTGGCCAATTATCTCAGATCAAGGTTGTGAACGGGTAATTGGTATACAAGACAAATAATTTCAGAAGTTTATTGTCTGACAATAGATATTCTGCTATTCATTGCTCATTCGCCGTGCACTTGCATATTCTGATTGTAAATATTATACTTGACTACTACTGTGCATCATAAATAAATAGGCAATAAATATAGTTAGTTAATGATATATATAATTTACATGAGGAACGTTTACGCAAACATTAATCACTGAAATCGTTTTCTATTTGGAAATGTCGCCTTGTAGAGTCAGTAATAACAGAAGATTATAATTGATTTTAACTATCAGTGTGTTTAACGGTCCATTGGCACAAGGTATAACAGCGAAACCAGCCATGCAAAAGCTGATTACAACGTCATTGTATGGAGTTTCAACGAACACAAATTCGACTTGTCAGTGCCTTTTTACTTCAAATTATCCAAACTATTATTTCTTTGAATTACCTTGTCACTCAAACGTGTGGTCAGGGGGAAAAGCGACGTGATCGCCGTCGATGTGATGGTCCCATAGAGGGTTAATCGGCGGTAATATACTATTACAGAAGTCAGAGACATTGATTTAACTTTATTTACCTGAATGTTTATCAATACTTAGATTGGTCATTTTCAGGTATGATTTGTCAAGGGACAACCAGAGGACTTTTCTGCTAAAGTCATTTGCAGAAACGAAGTATGAAGACTAGTTCTCAGGGCGTCTTTTGAAGTGAATAATTATAGATAACCCATTATCATGATTGCATCAGAGATTTGTCATAGACGTTAGAAATATAGTAACAATTCGCGAATTGAATTTTTCATATCATTCATATTTTATTGTTCAAAATTCATTATCTTTATTGAAACAATTATCTATATTAACTGAGAAGTTCTAAACTTTGAAATTTTATAGATTAATTTATTAGTACTGTCTATTCTAATAGCGTGGTCTGGTCCACCGATTAACCGTTGTTTCACGGCGGTGCTTTTTAAGGACAGCAGACACCTTTGGGTCTGCACAATTACCACAGCAAGAGGTTAGGTTTATCTACTTCATCAGGTACAAATCGACAAAATTAACTAAAAATGGACAAAATTTTGTAATTATCGAGTATTAACGCTTCCTACCGACAAAGAATTTTCACACTATTCAATTCTCATTTGATTAAATGTGACAATATGAAATTATTTTATTGGAAAGAAATTATAGCAATAAAGAAATTTCAGGGTTTTTACTTTTGAACCAAGATGACAGTAATGGGCAGAATTCATGGGTATAGACGTTATTACGAAATAGAGGTCGAATGCGAAAGAATGCAAGATATTTGAAGTTGTCGCCAGAGGTACGACATAACCAAGATAACTTTATTATCCTTACATGTTGAAAAGTGTGGAATCGGTGGCATTCAATACATATATGTATCCATGAAATGAGGGGGCGTGACCCAAACATCACGGGTATTATCGAGAAGAATAAATGGAAGTCAATACCCTGTCCCTAAGTATTGTGGTATAATTATGTCAAAAATAAACACAAACGATAGTTAATCAAGCATGGTCTTAACTACAGCTCTTCAGCGGAGGAGGTTTAAAGAACAGATACACCCAAGGTTAAACGGAAAGCGAGTTGCAATGAAGAGTAATTGGGTGAAATTTAATCACCCGTAGTTCGTCTTGATGTTGTCTCCATAAAGTCTGAAACCTTATATATCCTTGCTTTACACATCGTCCTTTGATCTCTCATAGTGTATCAAATTCTAATAAATAATATATATTAAGTCCGTAACGTTATTCAATTAATCATTATAATAGATTTAAATGAAGAAAAAGAAATTGGGGGTGCGTGTCTGTACAATTCTTTTTTTTTTCTTAAAATCAAATTGTTTTCTGGAGTTCATTTTTAAATTTCTTTTAATAACTTGCTATGTAAAAATATTTAGTTTTTCTTTAAATTAAAGTGCACGAATTTAACTTTTATGATTTTTTTTTAAACAACTTGAGGATATTTTGGTATGAATGATTTACAGTCAATCAACATTTTCCTTTTTGAAAAGAATTTTTAAATAATGTTACATTACCCTTGCAATTGAATGAAAATTATGCCACACCGCTTAATCCAAATAATGGATGAAAATTATAAAAAAAAACATTGACAAGTTAGGGTTAATCAATAACAAAATAACAGTAAAATGAGTCACGGAAATGAAGGAACGAAAATAACGAAATATTAATTGTTGGCCGTGAATTCGAGGCCGTCTAGTTATGCCGATCAATAGAAATCTTTATGGGTAATTTGACTGGAAGTTTTTCAACTCTCTCCCCAGACATAATCACCCCAACAAAAACCAATATACTGCAATATTTAAATAGAATGACTTGGCTCCTGTATTGTAACAATTTGACAAGAAAATTATTCCTATATGCATTAGGAAATCCATAACTATATTGACGAGACACGATAGAGCTTTGGTCCGAGTGTTTCTAACTTATACGACGATCGTATATTAAGTCGTACCACAATGTACCAAAAACACCACTGCAAAACGTCCATTTTTATTGGTAGAAAAGTTATATGAATTGAGAAAAGCATTTACACAAAAATTTTATTACAGCACGGGTTGTCATTTTAATGTTAAATATTAATAATAGAATAGTTTTACAACAGATGAGATATATAAACTTAACTGTCGCCATTGTTTGTAATTAAGGAAGAATTTTAAGACCGGTTTTCATTAAGTTGTTAAAGAAAAATATTTTAAAAGCAATTATGCAATTAAAAGATTGAACTATTGAAAAGGGTATATGACTCACAGACAATTACAGCAAAAAACTTGTTCGGTCACACTAACCGACAAAGGAGGGGACACTGGCCAGAGATTTTGATTTCTGATAATTCAGATGACCAGATAGCGGTCTTGTCCACCAGTAATAAAATCTCCATACTGATAAAATCATCAAGTTTTGTCCGTAGGTCAGTTACATGTCGATGGAATTTCGTTTGTTTAACAGCTTTATTCTTGTGTAAAACATGCCAAATGTCTTAATTTTGCCAACGGTCATTTAAAAACATGCATTGTTATTGTCCTGTTTAATGTCAGTCTAAAATTTAAATATTTCACTGAAAATATTTTTAAACTTACATTATGAAGTTTGTAGTAAAGGCCGCAAGCATTGCAGACTGGATCTCCATTTTGATTCCGTCTCCATAATGTCGTGGTTGACGTTCCACAGTTGGCACAACTTGTTCCTGCTCGCCTTGCAGCAGACTGAAAAAAAAATTAAATTTGTAAAAAAAAATGAGTACAAAATTGCTTATTTTGAAAAACATAAGATTTCATATTTTCACTTATATGACATAGTACTAATGGGTGTGTACGTAAATACATAGTTCTTCATTCATCGGTTTAAATAATACGTTAATGCATGCTTTGAGATGTTGTTATTTTGTTTTCATGTTGTTTATTGTTAGAAGAAACTATTTCTGTTAATATTTATAAACCAAGCTGCGGGATAAGTCACTTTACTTATTCACTATGTAAACAAATAAATGGGATATGTTTGCCTCACGGCACTGATTTCAAATGTATCTTTAACTACTGATCGGCCATGCATTTATGCCAAACGAAACATAGATAAGGAAAGGAAAGAGAAAACTGAATTTTCCTTCCAGCCACTTGACCCACCCAACTGGAGCAAATGGCGCCGTACCTACTGACGCAGGAGTCGAATTTTCCGTAGGCGAAGCAAATTTGTATTAATTGTTTGACGAAAACGTATGTCATCAAATATTTGTGAATTGCGCGTTGTGATTGATGAATAAGGACAAAACCGCACACAGAGAAGGAAACTAAATATATGCAGAAATAGAAACTGACATTCTTCTTTTATATAATTTTGAAAATTAAAACTCATGTGCCTTTGCTGCTCAATACTGTAAAAGCAGAAACATGATATATATCATAGCGTGCTAGGTGCATTCGAATGTGTTGTACACAAAGCACAATTGTGTTAATGAAAATATTGAATTAGGATTAACAAAAGCTCAAACGAAATTTGTATCCCTAAATTTGTATATTCCCACAGAGATATTCAAACAAAATGTTTTAGGCAAAAATACAACCTTTCACGCCCAATGTGCCCGATATCACCACTTATTACAAATACATTTTATCATTTTTTTTTCTACAGAAAATGGATAGTTCATTTTTTTAAAAGCTCCATTGTTGTCTAAAGAAAATTTCATGTATTAATTTTTCATCCTGTATTAAATGTACAATGGTATCTTATTTCTAGGCTTTTATAGAAAATTTCGGTCCGGTAATTTAAGTGTTTAAAATTATGAGAACTATTATTTATTAGCCAAATCAAAATAATTTAGCCAGTTAAAATAAACTATGCTTGTGCTTTGTAATTCATTTTAATGTAAAAATAAACGTAAAACATACCATAGACCTTACATATTTGATTTATTTTTCCTTATTCAAATGAAATTAGATGCCCAATGCAAAAAAGTTGTTTTACCAGAAGGAGGTCAAAAAGCATTAACAATTATTTATTTATTTTACAGGAAATATTTTTTTAAGAAAAAAAAACTTACACTGTTTATTGATCATTAGAATGTGTGTGTATGTGTGTGTATGTGTCGATGATAGGACTCTGACCGATAAGATGCCTATCCACTGCATACAGGGCAGATCATTTTATATCAAGCCTTACGCACTTCACCAAGGTTTAATCTTGCATCGAGAAACATCATCGTCACGGCTTATCGTGACGAGGACTATGATCGTTTTAATTGATACATTTATTTTGGCATTAAGACATCTACCTCGCCAATTTATATTCCTTCAATCACTCAAGTTACACGATCAGTGTCGGATCCCGTATCTGATCAATAACTAGAAACAAACAAATCAATCGAATCAATCTTTTAGTATTGATCTATAGTTTCTATAAGTATTAAAGATTTGCTTCAGCTTGTGCTGATAAACATCTTAAGTATTTCTATTCCAAAACATATATGTCATGACAAATTGGAAACAAACAAATACATGAAAACTTATTGTTAAATCCAAAGCAACGCGACACTGCAGCTCATATTTTGGGCGACACACACGACCCCGTATCTTGGTTTCGATGAATGAGATCAGAGCATTCGCCTGAAATTATCTGATATTACACAGCTCATGAATCTCGGTCCGTTTACCCATCAATAGTTCTTCATTTGTCTTTGTGGAATATCAGATAGATCTTACACCTCTTATCACAATATCTATAACATTGTATATATTTGTGAGATGGGTGATTTAGTTTTGAATAATACCCTTCAATTCAAAAGAGTTATTTCCTCCATTTGCCTTTTTGTATCAATATAACCGCTGTATTTATGACATTTATTTACCAATGGACTTTAAATTCTTGTAGTAATAATTAGGAATGTTGGTTAAACAAAAGAGTGCTGATCTATCTGATAAGTACTGGATTTTATTGGGTAAAAATAATTTTTGACCACCCTATGTTTTTTTAACAAAATGTAATTAGTTTTAGAAAAAAATAAAAGTACGTATATTTTCAAAACCTACGAAAGATTTACCCTAGGAATTATAAGCACATAAGTATTAATTACATTCTTTTTTATTTTAGTGTCAGATAATTTGACCACCCACAAAAAATTTGCTGATTCAATTATGTGCCGTCTATCCTTTTTTCGCCATTTAAACAACTGACATGTACTCGCAAAATAACTTCTAACATTTATTAGTTTTACCCTAGAAAATTTATATAATTTCTATAAGTTTCGCCCTAAAATTACGAATATGCATTTTTGTTGTGCAATTGACACGTCTTTCCTGATGAGAAATGTCAAAAATAGTACGCTTGAATTGTAAACGTAGAATGATTCATTACCTAGAAAGCAGCAGTCGTTATGGACATTTCTTAAGACGAAGAAATATTAGTGTAAAGAAAATAAACATATTGCTGATGTTAACTTGACAGGCTGTTAAAAGCTGAGTACAAATCGTGTTTCGTAACACCCATAAAATCCCGTTTTTTATTCTACTAGGTTACCCCAAATTGCCACACAAGTAACATGACTTACCAGGCGTCTTTTAGGTTTGATGAGTGGCCGGTTTTGACCGTTCATTTTGTGGTACAGTCCACAGGCATTACAGAGATAATGACCAGTGCCATCTCGTCTCCATAAGGGCGTTGACGTAGCTCCACAGTTTACACATTCTCTTCCTTCTACAAAATAAAAACACACATTGTGAAATTTTGTATCCGTTTCCGTTCATTTTTATTTATTAAATACATTTTCGTGATATTAAAATATTTGAAATATTATTCTATTAAAGTTAATTTCACCAGATCTGTAGACTTTTGAGGATTTACATATGGCGCCAAACTCAGCTACATGTAGGAGTTGTTTTTATGAATGCAAATCTTCTGTCTGGATTTGTTCATGGGAAAATTTCTAATTGTTATGATATTATATACAAACTAAGTGTCCTTCTATTGAACATAAGAACAATTGCAATGCATAAAAAATAATTTTGAAGTTATCAAAAATTAGAATTTGATACAAGTTGTAGAGTTCCGGACGTTATAACACTCGAGCTAAAAGTGTATCTCGTCTTACGGCCACAGAGTTAACAATGTCGCAACACGATTTACTATTACGGTAGTAACGATGAAGAATTCTGTCGTCAGGTCCACTTACGCGGTACTGTATGGTTTTTTTTAATTTCCAAGTCCACCCCGGGCTAGAACTATATCCGCCAATTAACGCGTAATTTAGATTTATATAATAAGTTAAATGTTATAATTGTCGCCAATACTATACTAGAAAATACCTTAGCTTGAAATGTCTCGTAAACATAAGGAAGAGATTAACAAATATTTAGTTTTAAAATATTTTGATTTTATTTGCTGCGCGTAAATTTACTTATCCCTGGCGCGACCGCAGTTGGACTGTATTTCGGAACGTTCACAATTTATGTGTCAATGATAATCCGTTAAACGGACACAGCGTCGTAAAGTTTATAATGACTATCTGAATGAAAACTATTACAATTAAAGCGATTGTTTTATTTACATTTGAGGATAATTTTAGGTTTAGATTTTATAAAAATAAAGGGAGTTAATTCTGACCTGGGATATTATGTCTTTGGCTTCCTGGTAAAATCATGGAATACATCTCATCGGCAGAACATCGTCCTAAAACATTGGAAAATTGGTTTTCATTTATTTTTTTATTTCTAAACTTTTTCCAATCTATGCTAAACCATCACTACACACGGTGAATTTGAAAACTAAATTTGTGCACGGTGCTCGGTGAAAATGCAGTGAAATCACGACGAAATGCTTGGAGAACGCGATAATTGCATCTAGCGTCAATTTTAATCCAGTGGAAATAATTTATCGATTGTAATCCACCGATATCCCATGTTATCAATAATATATACCATGATTTGTAAAAATGCTCAAAAGATTGATAGTTTCTTTATCAACTGGTGCGTTCACAATTATGTACTTTTATGTTCGAGTTAAAAAAAATTTAAATCATCAAATTTTTTTGCACTTCTTCTATTAAAGATATGACTACAAATTTTTAATTGAATTAAAAAAATAAAATACTTCAAGTATCGCGAAAAAAATCTTTGCACTTATCCGGAACTCTCTTCTCTACAGTAAATTTAATAGCACATAATTTTCACTGTTTTAATTTTATTTTGCTGTTTTCGATTTAAAAAAAAAGGAAGATAGAAGATGTTGTTTAAGGACTGCACACTGATTTGATAGTATTATAAACTGTGCATAAAAAACATCCACCACCTCTTACAGTAACTATTGACAAAAAAGCTTAAACATGTGTAAACTAATTAACAAACACTTAAATGTAAGAGTGCTTGTTATATATCATTTTTAACAGCATCAATTGCTCTCTAATTAAAACCATACCATATGGTAGCACCACGCATGTTAATAAGCTAATAAAAACATATATATCTAGTAAAGTTAAATAAACTAGAACATTAATAATCAGCCATTATGTGCATACTTTTTCATTGAGTCTTTATATCAATTTAAAATTTCTCAGAAAAAACTGAAATAATATTTCCTATTCTGTTTAAGGGAAATGAGGCCAGCGAACTTTCAAAGTTAGAGAAGTGTCTGTTTGTTGACGTTATAAAGTTAAAATTAAGTGCAGCTACTGACGACTTGAACTGGTGTTTCCGGATTTATCGGATCGCTCAAGTGTTTGTATCCGTGACTTATACTAGAAACTCTAACTTTGCTAAAAATACGGAAGTGTGTTAAAAATATATCTAAGATAAAAATCAAAAATAAAATTCACCATATATCAAAATAAGTCTTCAATAATTGTAAATTGAATATACTTTTTGTTGACGTCGATATTCAATAATTCAGATAAATCAAATAACGTGTCAAACAGATTCACCGCAAATTTAAAAAAGAGGTTAGATGGAAGAACATACCAGCACTTGATCTTGTTTTTGTTCTCGGTCGAGGAATTGTTGACTTGAACATGCTACCAGGGTGGAATCCCAGACTTCCGGCATAGTCAGAACCTGGTGTGACATAAGATGGATATGTCGGCATGGGATGAGCTGTGTGGCTGTATGATGGCGACTGATTGTCGTGTATGTCTGTTTTGACTGGTTTTGATTCTGGTGTGTATTCTGTGGATGCGTTGACATTCTCTGGAGTTCCATCTTTGGGTGGTGTTGGTGGAAAATTGAATGAACTTGATGTTGGTATGGATGACGATGAACCAGACAGTTGACCCGCTGAATTTGAAACATGACTAAGACCTTTGCTGTTGAAGGGACTCATCGGCCAACCGGAATGTGCATGTGGTACCATGGATTTTGCATCTGTTATCCACGAGTGGAGGGGTGTGGGGAAGTGTGGACGACAAACTTGGCTAGATGCGGACACTGAAATAGAAAATCGCTAATTCAAATCTTACTATTCCTGCTACACTTAAATTATTGGGAGAAAACAAATCTTCATAATCGATCAAGGAAAAATTAAATTATTAAGCATTAAATTCTACTCATAATTTTCCGGCAAAAATATTTCGTTCACTTTAGAAAGAAATGTTTACTTCCAATCTTATTTTCTATATAGATTCTATTAGAAGATAATATTTTGCATCCATATTAAATTAAAGCACTGATATTATTACTAGTATTTATATATATATATATATGTATTATGTATTATATACTGTCGAGTAACAGAAATATTAGCAACTTGTTGCTTTGACCCCAGGCTTCCAGATTTCACATCTTTGATTCGATAAAATCATAACTATAAAAACAAGATTATTCAGTAATATTTTTGCAGCGTGAGAATTTTATACTAAAATATAATGTCAAATCCGTGTGATAAGAAACTTTCTCTTTTTCCCATACTTTTTGTAATATTTGCAAATTAATTGGTATAGCAGTTCCAATTCCTTCTCAGCAGTCACTTAATCAGTTAATTTGTTGGAATGATGATCTGGTGTAGAAGCAAAAATAGTTCACGTAAAATTACACCCTAAAAAACTCCCATTTTTACTTCTTTCATTTATCTTCAATTTATGAAACTAGATCAAATTGATCTTATAATTCGAACTGCATTTTCAGACTTTTTCACATGCTTGAACATATTTTCACATAATTTCTTTGTATAAAAATGTTACCGAGAAATGCAGTTCGATTTATAAATATCGTAAAATAATACATAATTTCATAAATATTTTACCTTTCAAAAATCAGTGAAAAGCAAAATGTTATAGAAAAATAAATTCGCATTTTGTAAGATTTTATTTTGAATGTACATTTCAGTTTAGGGAATCCCACGGTTCTTTTTTTATACTGGTAGATTTGTTTCCCAGTTATATGCCTGGTTTATTTTCTGCGGCAGAAAATGTACCGGTAAATACCACATTTTGAAGTGGAATTTTATTAAATAAATTGAAACAATTTGTCTATGAATTAAAGTCAATCAGTGAGTAATTGATTACAGAGCTGTATATTTCAGTGCAGTGGTGGTCAGTCGCCAGAAGTGTCGGGGTTCATTACATTGACATAAGCGGCTTAAATCAGTTGGGGGTTAGGACCTGGTAGGAATCAAACCAGCAGGGTTTCCACTTAAGACATTACGAACCGTCATTTTTACAATGTAGAAAATTATACATTATTAAGTACTAGAACACTTGAGTAACCCAGTAGAATATTTGGCATTGAAAACATCTGGAAGAAAGTAAGAGTGTTAAACGGATGATTTCATCGCACAGTGGATAACATGACAAGTGTCATTTTATGAACTCTGTCTTTTATCATCAACAAATAAATACTCCATATTAAATAAATATTTAGGTTGATAAAGGGAAAGTCTCATCTAATTTTATTAGAATAACATTTGAATAAAACGTTTTAGAAATGTAATTTAACTGGTAGAAATTGACCCTCGTAATTTTGAACATGTGGCGCCGCTCTTATGCAAGGTAATACTATAATTACAATTCATTCAAAATATTGAATCAAATAATTCTATTTCGTTAAGAATGTCAAACAAAAAATATTCGAGTATTAGTTAAACTTTTAAGCGAACTGGACAATCCGTAGAAATATTCAGCCTTAAAACTACAGCTAGAGAATCAGAAACTAAAAACACTTTGTTTATGTTACATCAGTACAGAATAATATTCTTAATAGCCCATTATTTCAATTTCATGCAATTTTAAAAGTGAAACACGAGAGCGAGCCGAGTCTGGTTGACGCCGTGACGGGGATTAGCCAGTATAATTGTGGAGATTCGTTTTCATTGTATTAAACTGTCTCTGTATAGTTTAAAAACTTAAAATATTTTTTGAACTTGTGGGATCGGATATATTTAATACATTGTTATAACGGCGCGTTTCCTTTGCTAGACTATATATAGGTTGTAGTGGTTTCCTATGTGTTAAAGATTTAGATAAACAGCACATTTTCCGTTGAACGGACATTCTTACAAGACATGATAACATCTCTTAAGTATTATTTGATATTTACATGTTTTGTTATTGTTTATAAATTTTACGAAAATCTTATATAAAAATCTTACATGATACATTTATTTAAAATAATAATTTTAAGGGGAACATTTATGACATGAGAACTAATATATAACAAAAATATCTAAATAAAAATAACTCATAATAATTCCGAAAAATTAAACGAGATATTTCTTAGGATAAAAATAAATAAAACAGTAACCAAACAGCACAACGACAGCTAAAAAGATATCTATTCGCTTAAATTACAATATTTACAATTACTAGAGTAATCATTTTATTTTAAATGTCAAAAAGCAAATATCTAGATTTATTTAAAAATGAATATATAAGTGAAAATATGATTCTTACCATGAGATGACCTGTAACTGCCCATTGCCCTTGCAGCTTGGTTGTAGTATCCTGCTGCAGCATTCATATGAGAACTCTGATCTAAGAAATGAGGGGTGAACATTTCCCCAATATCTTCAGACGGCAGCATTCCTGGTGTTGGTTCGTAGCTCCCTACTCGTGGGGCTTCGGCTCTTAGCCAGCTTGATGCATGTTGTTGCTCAGCGCTCACATCCATAGTTGTTTTTATTGATTGTAAATATTTATTTTAAGAGTAAATATTCCGAATTCGTGTTAATCCACAAACAGTAAGAAACGAAATATTTTAAGCAAACTGTTTTCAAATACGCACAGTTCCAACTTGCAATAACTCAAATTATCTGCAAAAAATAAAATTGGAATTATTCAAATTCATTTGCTTACAACGATTCAGATGAAATAACCTTAACAGTAACCAAATGATGATATCGGTAAAACATTAGTATAAATATGTAAATATTTTGTTAAAGTGATGAAAAATTATAATAAATTTAAAAGATCTTTCGATAATCATAGATTATCAGATAACCAACCCCTTCAAATATCCTACATGAATGTAAACATACGACACGTGCATATATACTTAATGCTCTTTAAAGATTTAATATAAGTATCTCAAAACCTAAATCAAAACAATAGTAGCAAAAAGTATTAGAATTAAAACACACATTTTTGCCTTCATTGAAATCCTTGAAATCTGCATCTGTTCAAACACAATATATATTTAAGTAGGTAAATACAAAGTTAAGAACACTTGAATCGCTCCCAACAGTAACCATCAATATGAATCGAAAAAACAACACCGCATTTGTTTCATTCTACAATTGGCAGCACTGGGTATCCTCAGCGGGTATAGCAACAAAAACAAATAGACCAATCAAATATCTTATTCTTTATATCTAATTTCTTTCTGCCAATGACTCCTCCTCCTGTATTTCAATATTTCATTTTCTTTTGTCAATCAGATAATAATATCAGACAAAAATCAATCGTACATGCCTCCAGCTCCTGTTTAATGGGCGTGTTTAAGATCACTATCAGATCTGCGAGATAAGTGCCAATTGTCTTGTACGTGAACAGGATAAGCCCCGCCCAGGAAAAAAAGATGCGGATTTTTTCTTCTTGTGGTGATAATTATTTGGGAATAGTAATAAATTTAAGGATGGCAAATGGAGCACATTACTAGAGTCCACCCTTGGTTGCTTTTTAATAAAAGATGTTTGCGTTACCCTTATGAATTTAAGGTAGAGATGGTGGATTAAGTGACTTGTACATAATTATATACACATTTCGCTGGTGTTACAACGTTACACTTTTATGGAATTAAAGGGCAAGATCTCGATTTAATGTGATGAATTTAATGTAGACTTGTAACGTAAAATTGGATAGCTAAAGCCGTATCCGTCGCCATACTGACTCAAATTTTAGATTGTTAAGAATTACTCCTTATTATTTTATGAAAATAGTTTCCGTTTTACATTAAAAAACCAATTTATTTTAAAATGTAACAAATTTACACTTACTGAATAGTTTTATATCGTATTAAAGTTATGTATTAGACTTCTAAGCAAAATTAGGTTTGTTTAATTACCAATAGTAAAATCATATTCCAAAGTATTAGGTTAATAATTGTGCAAAACATTTGTATTTCATACCTCTTTAACAGTTTTGGTTGATGTGAAAAGATTTGATCATTAACTTTCAAACAAATGATATAAATACCAGATTATGTATTCATACTTATATCCTCGTGAAATATGATTGGTTAAGTGTTAATAGTTGATATCCTGATTATCACCTGTAATTATCTCACCTGTTCTTATTGTTTATCAAATTATCTCGCCTTTTCCCATTGTTTATCTAATTATCTCACCTTTCCAATATCCTATTTATCTAATTATCACACATTTTTTTACAGTAGGTATTGTCTACAGAGGATATTCATAATTATTTATGATTGGTTTTCCCTTCAGCAAAAAATATATATCATATTGTGAAATAAAGGTGAAAAACAGAAATTTTCTGACTGAAAATATTGCATTTAAGAATTATCAAATAATTACAGAAATGAACAAAAGTTTAAATTTCGGTGATTTTTGTATTTCTTTTGTAAATCATTAATTATCTACTAGCACATAATCTTGCTACTTTATACTTATCTCAGAGATGAACACTGTAGGAAACTAGTGTTTAAAATCAAGATGTATTTCTGATTTTCTTTGTCTCCTTTGTTTTTATAAAATTATTCAAGTTGTAATTTTTAAAATTTATTTTTCATTTCCATTTATAAAGATATTTCTTCTCTAGAAGTATCACTAATTTAAAATGTTAATTACTTAAAAAGAAAAGAAATACTAGTTTAGTTTAGTATAAACATATTTTATTGTTCAAAAAGTACAAACGGAAGACACAAGTTTTTTCAACTTAGTAACGTCTTCTCCAAAAGAAAAACTACACTTTTTATAGTAATTTACTTCACTTAAAAATGGAATATATTTATGCATATTTTTTATAATACAACACTCGATGAAATGTAAAATTTCACTTCAGTATTTATAACCTTTTATAATACAGAATTATTATAAATGAGACATTAGAAAAGATCTCTATATATAGATATCAAAGCCGAACATATATTCAGGTACATGTATAAACCAATCTTTTGTTTTTAAATATTGATTGTTTTCCAACAATTTTTAGAATAACTTTACATTTTTATATCAGTAAATCACCTACCTCAAAAGGACACAGATATAATGATATCATACAAACATCTAATTTCCACAAATTCAGAAGTGTTTATCTTATAAATGATTATCAGGATTCGATTAGAGAAGCAATGATCACAAAGTATTTATCTACGTCTTATATACTTGCCTCTTTATGATTGGTGAATGCTTCTTTCTGATTGCCAGTTGGCGGATATAACACCTTTACTAAATGAATAATTGTCAATTATCTAATTATCACACCTATTTACTAATTGTTAATATTTGCCTATCGTATTTTTTAACAATATTTGAAGGAAAAGAATAATTATATGATTAAAAACAATCATATTTTTAAAAATATTTAAATAGAGCCTATCGGCATTGTACAGTATTGTAAAAATATGTCATTTCAGTTTCAGTTATAGGGAGTTATACAGTTTCCTTTTTTATATAATGAAATAAAACAAACAGATTTTCAAAAGAATGAAAGGAGTAATTTATATTGTATTTCATTACTTTGTTCCTGAAAAAAAGTAAGGCTATGTTTTGAAACACAATAAATGTGAGTATAAAATAACATAATATTATAATAATTCTACAGATAATTCTCTGATAATTTCCCGTATAAAGAAAATATTTACAATTTTGTCGTTTTATTTACAGTGATGTTTATTTAATTCATCAACTGCATTGTCACGTGGTGTATTTATTTCCACAAACTTACCTTATATTTATCTGCAAAAGAGTTAGTGTAAACCATTCATGTAAAAAGAATATTACAATTACAAACATCTATATATGTACAAACTTCAGATTGAAAAAAAAAATCAATGAAAATAGTATATTGGAGTGAAAAAGTCAAGAATAAATAAGACAAACTATATATATTTTAAGATTATTTATTGTCTGCAAATTACTTCGTGAAAAAAAAAGAAATACATTCTATAGATGACACGGTAAGTGAAGTGACGGTAGTTATCATTATTTCAAAATAATAAAAACAAATGACTTGGTGTTTCTTATTCTAACAAGGTTACTTGATTATTTTACATATTTGTCTAATTTTGTTTCTCCGTGTCCAGATAGTAATCATGTTGATACTCAGTATAGAAAGTCATGCTTATCTGATCTGAGGTTGTCTTTAGAGGATGAGTATAGACTCGTGTTGATAGAGGAGAATCATTAATGTTCACAAAAGAAAAAAGTAGATCTAAAGATTATCATAAAAAAATCATGACACGGAAATACACAAAGAAGAAGGTGAGAGAAAATGTATATATCCTGATTAACATTACATACATTAACTCATCTGTCTTTTGTGTGAGACGAAGAACATAAGACTATATAAATCATTGTTACAACAAAATCCAACATAAGAAATAGAATTGTTTAATCTACATATCTTACATATACCATGACAGATTTGTATAATTTTCACCAATATGATGATGATTTTAATCTCCCAATGTATAGTATATTATGTCAATGCTTTACGTAGGATTTTAATCCCGATAACAATTAAGTTACATGGAAGAAATAAAGTATCTGATGAGATGGAACATTAGTTGTTAATTTTGCGAGAAATTGTTCCTCTTTACGAATATAAATAAACTTTGTTTTTGTTTATGTTTTGCAGAGTAATTGTATTACACAAAATAAAACTGTGTTCTGTAATGCCAAACAAGCACAGCCAAAATATTAACAAAATCCATTTAAAAAAGACTGAAAGCTTCATAGATGCATATAAACTCAACAATTTCCGAAAAGGTGTGCCAAATACGACTAAGGCCATGGATAGATCTGATCATCGGACAAGTATAATATATGGAATTCTGTTTGGGCTAGATCAGAAATATATCTCCATGTTGGCACAAGTATTATTCTTTATGTAATAATATACATATTTACTTTTGTCACATAAATTGTGGAACATTTAAGTTAGAAAGAAAGAAATATTTACCGAAATACTGTTGGTCAAACCCTAATATCTATAAATTTGATCAACTGTTTAACTCATCAAATATTGTAATATTAGAAAAACTATGTAAATTTATCAAAGTTATAAATGTGAAAGTCAGTCCTCCAAGTTAATTTCATTGTATTGTTCACACATGCATGTAATAATTGTACCTTATAGTTATATTTATGTATGCTCTCTATAACTATTTAATTGTAGTTGTATTCGTCACAATGCTAGTGATAGAAACGCATAAAAAGATGCTGAATTAACATGTGAACTGGATCCTTTTTTAAATGGTGATATATATATGTGACTGAAACAGAGAGAAATAAATCGAGAACAACCGAAAAGTTTGTTACTCATGTACATTTGAGCAAAGATGCATTAGATTTTCACTTCCCATCATGTAGGCTCCTGAAATGAAAAAAAAATATCCGGTTATACCCTTGAAAATAGAGGAATGTATGATATAATTTCGTTACGGTGACGGTTGCGATTTTTGAAACCGGGGAAAATTTATCCGAGAACCACCAAAAAATGTCAGTCTTTTTCAGGGTGTAATGCTGGCATCAAGACATAGGGACTTTTTATTATTTCGTTTCTGTGCAAAATTAGAATATTTCTTTATTAACTCATTTTGATTTCCAACATTTTGCATTTTTGCTCCCTTTAAAATTGACGTGCCCTTACTGAATGCAAAGCCATTAAAAAAAATAATATAGCAATATAATAACATTTTTTTTTAAAGTCAACACTGTGGCCAGGCCAAATCAATACCTCGATATATACTCCATGTGAAATTTACATTTTGTTAAAAGGCCGAACTTCATTGGCTACACAATCTTTTTATACATGTAGATTAATACTATGTAGATCTTTTTTTTTTTTTTGATAACCAGAAATATTCATGAAAAATGGGGGAAAATCGGACGTCAACACGAACTTGTTAATACAAATACCACGACAGGAAAACGTGTCCATTCTTTATTAACAGACATTTTTCCTGCACATTTTTACAAATGTTATATGCGGAAATTTTTTATTTTCTAGTACTCAAATTATGCAGCAAAGCAGGTCGGTCGAGTCGTCTGTCCACAGGAGCTCGTATCATAGATGGTTTTTTTCGGGTTGGAAATAAGCACAATAAACATCTCTGATATAAGCCTTGTAATCCGATGTG